TGAATGCGGTTACGTGATCTTGAGAGTCAGTTGTTCCATCATATTTGGGAATATTAGGCATTTTAAACTTGTTAAGAATTGGTAAAGGTATTGCACTTGGCTTCCAGGGTTGCTGTGAATATTTGTCAATATCCATACCTTTGATCACGGGAGACACGCCGGGTATTTGCTCTATACGCTCGTTTTGCTCCTTCAACCGTTTCTACAAAGTTAGCACTAAACTTTGTAAACTAGAATTATTTGGTGTACCTGACCCTCCATCGGGAGATTCATTGGGAATTTCTCCACTTTCAGAGTTATCAAGTCCCGAACACGGGTTCTCCAAAGTTGTTGTATTAACTGGTGGAGAAGTTTGCACTGCATTGGGTAACCCTATGACAAAAGCCCGCAGTGCACTATTCATGTGTTCTGCAATCAATTGCTTTAGCGCATCCTACTCCACGGTTTAGTCATCTCCCTGCTGTTCATCAGTGCGCGAAGCAGACCTTTCAGCTGAACTTTCACGGGATTGCTGAGATGATCCCGTAGGTGTGTAGTGTGGTGGAGTTCTACCTTGTTAGTTCAGTTGGGGTTTCTCGTTAACGGTTGGCATACTTGGTTGTTAAAAATGAAGTTTGGAAAGTGAACAGATTATCAGACTTCCGGTAACGGAACTAATTTATTTAACCCAAAAATAGATTTTTCGGTCAAAGTCAATATCAAGAAAAAATCGGGTTACTGATAACCAAGATTTACTTCACTTTTTCAATAATTTGAAGAATAAATCAAGGAATGAAAATAATTGATAAAGAAAATACGAAACGGATTAATAATCACTCCCAAAATTGCGGTTTAGAACCTTGAGAATAAAGTAAAGAATGATTGCATAAATTTTAATAAAAATTCGATGATATTACAAATGAGGTTTCAGTCCTTATATAAGAGCATACAATGATAACGGTTTTCTTACTTAATTCGGGCTCACTAATGGCATTAATTACCTTGATTACCCGTTCCCATATACAATTGTAACGGAAGTATTTATGGCTAAAGATTTCCGGTAACCGTATCGATTTTTCTTCCTTATTTATGACAGGTTCGTGCGTGCATCTTTCCTTCTTAACGGTCTTTATTCATTCCGCTCATGTTTCTCCTTTTACAGTTTTCAGGTCCGACTCTTTTCTTAGTGTAACCCCGAGAGTATTCCTCCCATGCCTTTTTTCGCATTCTTTAACTCGTCTAATTAAGAACTTCACTTGTCGCTATATTGATGGTCCACGCACCATGCCCTGTCACCTCGATGATAGTCAACGTGTCATGCCTTTTTTCCACTAATACAATTATCACACAAAAGGTCAAATTTTTAGCGTTGGATATGCAAGTCATTCACACATTCGGGCTCGCCATTGAAATTTTTACATGATAGGTCTCTTATTTAAGACTATTTATATAAATAACATCACTTGTGATTTATTTATTTATTTTATTCCTTTCTTCCTTTCTTCCTTATTAAATATTTCTCTCTCATCTATATGGTAATGAAAATATGATAAATTCAACTTTTTTGGAGTTTAATATTTTTTAATTGTTTGGACATTTTGATCTATAAGCATGTATGAAGTAATGTAACTTAAATTCAGTAAATATTTATAAAACGTACATTGTATAACCACATATTATTTTATTTAATAATTTTATATTCTATTATATTTGAATATAACAGTTACAGATTTATCGTATCTTTCTAGAATAAATTTAAAGATTTATGTTATTTTTTAAGTATAAATTTGTCATAATAAATTTAAGAATCCTTTATGCCATGATTTTATCTTCCTTTTCACTAATTTCTATCCCTTTCACAAAATTCTATCACTAAACAAAATGAACGGCTTTAAACGTGAAACATTCATGAGTCATTTTTATACTTCATATATAATAGTAATACTATATAATATTTAAACAACTACAATGTGCTCTACATATATACTATTTTTATACCATAAATATGTGGTTTATTTTATATTATAAAATTTAATATTCCGAATATACGTCATAAATATTTATCATATTGAGAAAAAGAATTATATACTATGTATATCCAAATAAAATAATATTTTATACTAATAATATTTAATTTATACTTCATAATATACTTATTAAATAAATATTAATGTATTATACAAATTATATAATTTGTATAATATCTAAATATTATAAATATCACGTATTTATCCAAGTATGCACTATAATACAAGCATTCATATTTATCAATAAAATATGGTTATACCACCAAATAAAACGTTACCATAATTGAAATAGAGAGAAAGTAACAATAAAATCATAATTAATGACAATTTCATTATTAGATGGGAACTGAAACCTTTTGGTTTTATATTTAAGGAAATGAACACTTCAGAGCGTGATTGTAGGTAAGGGTATAAAACTTTCTGCTATGAATATAATTATTTAGTTGCCTTGTATGTAAAATACCTATTGTTGCTGCGTGTGTGAAAAGTTTTCTTAAATTTTGTCTATTTATGTTTTTTCCCCTTGCCATTCCGTGTAGAAATGGCGTGGGATAGCTAATTTTTAATATGATATTTAGTTTTTATCCAGTATTTTTAATGCTGAGCAAAAATAGTCACTACTTTATTAAAATTAATATGAAAAGACGTTTTTACCCTTTCTTCATGAGTGTTGTATAAATATTAATTACGTTGTGTCCTTAATATTTACACTGCACACATGAAGTTAAGAAGGTCATGTCCTTAATATTTACACTGCACATATGAAGTTAAGGACATCATGTCCTTAATATTTACACTGCACATATGAAGTTAAGGACATGATGTCCTAAAGTTTAACAACGAAATGTGCAAATATAGGACACTTTGTCCTTAATATTTGCATAGCATTCATGAAGTTAAGGACATCATGTCCTTAATATTTACACAGCACCCATGTCTAGTACAGGAGTATTTTCGTCCGGGCAGATAAAAATTTATTAAGCACTAGCTAAAAAAATAAATACATTTTAAATAGTGGCTAAAGAGTAAAGACATCTCTAATTAGTGGCTAACTGTGCACTTCCCCATTTTGTGGATCAAGATGATAAATAAAAAAGCCCACTAATTTGCGTTTTTCCACTCAGCGATTTTTTGAACGGAACTACTCCTATATCCAAATGTTTTCTTATTTTATTTAAATTTTTTGAATTATATTTGTTTTAAATATGAGTAGATCAAATTTTTTATCCAATGAGTTGTTATCGAAATAAAATTTACAGAGTGACAAGGTAACGACTCACTTATTATAATCTGACAGTCCAGTGATCAACATTGGAGAGGGACAATTATCCATGTCGTCGAGAACAAATATCTCAGACGCAGTGAATGTTTATAAGGTGGCCCAGTCAGTGTTCAAACAGATCTTTTATATAATACTTCACATGTAGGCGATTCTCAAAATCAAGAAAATGTAATTAGAAGAGTATATACCTTACAGCACACATAAATAATAAGGCTTGAATTTATTTAATTCTTCAACTTATAAATCTCTGTAAGATGTTTTCTCGAGAAGTGCATTAGTACGACACGTATGTTTATTTATCTACTTTTCATTTTAAATAAAAATCTTTCATGAAGAAGTGGTAGTTGATTTTTGACCATTGAGTTGGGACTTGGGAGCTGTTAATAGTGATAAGATAATGACATAACTGCAGTTGAGTGTCTAAACGAAAAATATATAGAAGTAGCAAAGATTTTCATGAAGTGGAACCAAATTTTTCGTTTGTTAGCAATTAGCATAAGTCACCCTCTTCAATAGTGACTCCCACTGGAATCTACTTTTTTTGGGGAATAAAATTTACTCCTGACTAATGTTCATTTGTTAGTAGTAATTACTACATAAACATTTTATGTTGTAGCGCCTTGTTAGTAATAATTACTACATATAAAAAAACATTTTATGTTGCAGCGCCTTTTTAGTGATACAACTTTCAGAAAGTCCTAAACAACTTGATATATAACAAATATCTTTACTCATTTCTAAATTGCATATATATCCAGTATTAGTATGTTATTTTTATTCTATTAATTTAAACTCTTTCTTTTTCCTTCATTTTTTAAATAAATAAAAACAAAAATTAACTATGCTTGTTAGTAAAAGGAAAAATCAAAAACTTTATCCATAAGCTTAGAAAACAAAATCTAACTTGCTTTGGGACAAAAGAAAATAAAACAGATGTGGACTGGCGGTTGCCTAGACTTTTCTGAAGTGGACTTTGAAAAGCTTAAAAGTAATTTTAGTCTGCCACGTAAAGCATGCTAAGGAGTTCTGATAGATTTCTTTATAACTAATTCCTTTGATTTAGCATTTGTTTTGAACGCAAAATATATTAGGTAGAAAATTGGGACCACAAAATAAGAGAATATTAGTGTTATGTTTCCAATAAAGAAGAAGGCAGTAGCCAGTAGGTAAAGATATGGCAAACGGTTTTTATTATTGTTGACGTGGAGTAGTACACGCCATAACTAATTGACAGATTGATTATTCTATTGTACGAGGTCAGAGAAATGGCTGGTGAAATAGAACATGATCCACAAACATCATTATTGGCGGCGCCATTTTCTGAGAGAAATGGTATCTTGAATTTAGTTATAGATTCTTTCTATCTGACTTGGTTTTCTGATTTGGTTATGGTTTATTTGTGTAGTTGTATACTCTGATATTGGGAAAAAGGGAACAAAATGGAGTGCAGTGGCGCATATAATAACAGGGGTTATAGGGGCAGGGGTACTATCACTTGCATGGAGCATAGCAGAATTAGGATGGATAGCAGGTCCATTGGCTATTCTCTTCTGTGCAGCAGTTACCCTTTTTGCAACTTCCATACTTTGTGATTGCTATAAATCTCCACATTCTGCTCTTGGCCCTACTATAAACCACTCTTTATTGGAAGCTGCAAGATTCTACTTTGGTAAGCTACTGTTCACAATATTTCTTTTACATTCTGTTGGGATTTGATTTACCTTCTTATCATACATTTCTGAAAATACTGCTGTTATCATCATTATTTTGCATATTAAAGTTTGATACTTTTGGGAGAGAAGACTGAAAAATTAAAGATTGAGGATTTGCATTTGAGTGTTGTTGTAGCTGGCCTGTGAGCTGCGGGATACAGTCCCGAAGTCTTCTCCTCACCATTGACCTCCTCTAGACCTTTGTCCTATCCCTGGAAATACAAAAAGAACATAAATTACTCTATCAAAAATAGAAAAATAAATATGATCACATATTGAGAATCAAACTGAACTATAGTATCATATAAACATAAATATCACATTATTGAGAATCGCGGCTAAAAAGTATAGTATCATACGAAACAACAGTTGTTCTGGACAGATCGTCTCTATTTTTCTGTTTCTCATTGTGACGTTACAACTTTTCATAATTGTTGATTTTTCATTGATCTGAATCTTTTCTTTAATCAAACCAATTGATGTCTATCATAGGAGGGGGGGGGCTCACCTCTCTTTGTATATTAGCTTCCAAAATGAACACATTGATTTGGATCAAAATTTGGTTGGGACCTGTCAGGCCTTGAAAAAGACATGTATCAATGCAAATAGCTAATATCCATACATGGCCATAGTGACAAGAACAAAAATTGTTAAAGGTCACTAGACTCTATGCATAAATAGTCATCTTTGGTGAAAATTCTTGTGGAAATGTCTATCTCATGGTGTCAAGTTAGGGCCCCTTGGAAGGATGCTATTGTCATTATATGACGAGAAGAAATTCTATTTCCCAAATTTGTCTTCTCTGCAGTTAAAAGGTAGATTTACAACAGAAAACTACAACCAAACGTTTCTGTAAGTGGAAGTTCCATCATTCTTGATAAAACTTATGGCCAACTCCAATAAATTTGGAGTTCTTCTAATAGATGAAGGCTTTATGCAGCTCATGCTTTTGCTTTAGGGTTCCTATATCTCTAAATTCTTAGCGGCCGTCTGAGATAGATCGATCTGAGATGAAAGTTGAACATTCTCTAGAACAAGAGAAAACTTCAGGCAATGATGATATAGATGCAATTAGAACTGGTAAAACTCTAAGATATCTCAAATTTTCTCCGGTCCTTGAGTTTTAACATTAACTAGGATTAAGAAACAACAGTCGACATATATTTTCTTGTCAGGAACTGTGTGGAGTGCAGTTGCGCATATAATTTCTGCTGTAATTGGAGCTGGTGTTCTCTCTCTAGCCTGGAGCACAGCACAGTTAGGATGGATTGCAGCGCCAATCGCCTTGTTCTTTTTTGCACTTGTTACGTACATATCTGCATCCCTCATATGTGACTGTTACAGGTCACCTGATCCAATAACAGGAACGCGAAATCACTCTTACATTGATGCCGTTAGAGTTAATCTTGGTAGATTGTTCCATCCTATGATATAAAATTATCTTAGAAACTCTTTCAGCAGTCTCTCATATTAGGATTCCCTCTTTTACATTTTTGTGGGGAAGGGGATTAGAAACTTCTTTGATGTGTTTTGACTTACTCGTTCAGGCAAGAAATGGACGTGGGTGTGTGGTTTGCTTCAGTATGTGAGCTTCTATGGGACTGGTATTGCCTATATAATTACAAGTGCAACAAGTATGAGGTTAGTTAGCTGTGTATACAGTTTAGATTTTAGACTCTCAGAATTTGCAAGTGTCTCAATAACAATAAACATGTCACTTTGCTACGCTCATTTGGTCCCGTTATCAGATAACATTATATCCATTGTAGTATGTATGCCCAGTCTTCAAAAGACAGTGTATGCAATTCAAGCTTAATGAGACATGTTTACGTTAGGTTACTAATCTCTCTGACCATTTTTGCAGAGAAATTCAGAGATCAAATTGTTACCGCAAAGGAGCAAACGCTGATTGCCAGACTGGGAAAAACATCTTTATGCTGATTTTTGGTATTATTCAGATAGTAACGTCGCAGATACCAGATTTTCATAACATGACGTGGTTATCTGTTGTCGCTGCATTAATGTCATTTTGTTACTCTTTCATTGGGTTGGCACTTGGGTTCTCTAAAGTGATTGGTAAGGCTTGGCCTGTTCTCTTTCTATGTTTCTTGGTTTTCATTTCAAATTTCCAAAAACTGTTGTACTGAATAATTTTGTGCATTTTCTTGATGTTGGATATGCAGACAACAGGCGTATCAAAGGAAGCATTGTGGGAGTACCGGCAAAGAGTGCTGCTCAAAAGATATGGTTAGTGTTCCAGGCACTCGGAGACATTGCTTTTGCCTATCCTTATTCGATCATTCTCCTGGAGATACAGGTATTATGTAATGATATTCCACAGGTTTTATGTGTCTACTGTGTGCAAGTCTTAAGTTCTGGATTTCTTAATTTATCATAGTGAATGCTTAATGGATCCAGCTCATAGAATTTGTCCTGATACTAGATCATTGAATATGGATTTAGCTTTTTTCGAGCTTGCTCAAGAGCATAAACACCACCTTAGCTAAATTTTCTGAAACCAAGCTGAAGCTATCACACTACTGACACTCTAGTTGGACTAGTTAAACTAAAAGCATCACAAAGACTGCTAATCTTTCTGCTAATAGTAAATTTGTTTTTTTTATGGTGTGAAGGATACACTAAAATCGCCTCCACCAGAAAATCAGACCATGAAGAAGGCATCAATGAGTGCAATAGTTATCACCACTTTCTTCTATCTATGCTGTAGTGGCTTCGGATATGCAGCCTTCGGGAATGACACGCCAGGGAACCTCTTGACAGGTTTCTACGAGCCGTTTTGGCTTGTTGACTTTGCTAATGCCTGCATAGTTCTGCATCTGGTTGGAGGGTATCAGGTAGTACTAAAATTCTAGTGTTTTCCTTTAGCCCTTGGTTTATGAAAGCTTCAATTTAATATGACGAAATGCTTGTTTCCTTAGGTATACAGCCAGCCTGTGTTTGCATTTGTAGAAAAAAAGTTAACTCAGAAGTTCCCAGAGAACAAATTCCTGAATAAGTTCTATGCCATCAAACTTCCAGTGTTGCCAGCTTTTCAGTTGAACTTCTTTCGGTTATGTTTTCGGACTTTTTATGTTATGTCTACAACAGCAATAGCAATGGCATTTCCTTATTTCAATCAGGTATTAGGAATCTTGGGAGCCTTGAACTTTTGGCCTATGACCATCTATTTCCCAGTGGAAATGTACATTGTGCAAAGGAAAATTGGAGCTTGGACAAAAAAATGGCTTCTTCTTGAGGGTTTCAGTATGATCTGCTTGCTTGTATCTGTAGTTGGTTTGATTGGATCAATTGAGGGAATAATTAGTGCTAAATTAGCTAAAATGTAAAATTCTCCTCTTTGATTCTCAAGAATCTTGCTACAAGTTGCTTGTCTTAGAAATCAGAAAAGCTTCCTATTTGAGGTCTTTGCTAGCAAATACTAAGATTTTAAATGACAATCAGCCAAAAGACTCTACACATTTTCAGTACTTGTACAATGCTACACACTTGTTGGATTTAAGCTGTATTGAGGGATTATTTCTGTCTCAATCAATCAAGAATTTTGCATTAGAACAAATTCAGTTATTTCATACAATTCTTCTGGTCTAGTTTGAATGGTTTAGATTATGAATCCTATTCTAAATATTTAACAAAGCAATTATTAAATATTGGTTTCGTGCTAATCAATTTTATTAAAGTGATATGTGCGTATTTGCTAAAAAGGCAATTTGGCCGAGATTCTTATTAACATTAATAATAATTCGATGTAAAAGACGTTATTAAATGAGGTGAAAAAATACAAACCAAATGGCTCTCTTTATTTTGTCTTTATCTACGGAAAACCATATAAATATAAATATATCTTTTCAATGTTTTGTAATCTAAAACTGGAAATGAGAATAATAGTAATAGTGAAAGAATGGAAATGGAGCAATAACAATGAAAATAACAACTATTAATGGAGGAAATTACTATCAGTGCCCTTCATTACGAATTACATTCAACATATACTCTTTGATTGATTAACCACTCCAACCTCCCAATTAAGAAGAAGTTTGCCCATTTTTACACACTCTTTGATTGCTCCAGTGGTAAGCACCCTCCACTTTCAACCAAGAGGTTGTGAGTTCGAGTCACCCCAAGAACAAGGTGGGGAGTTCGTTGTGAGTTCGAGTCACCCCAAGAACAAGGTGGGGAGTTCTTGGAGGAAGGGAGCCGAGAGTCTATCGAAAACAGTCTCTCTACCCTAGGGTAGGGGTAAGGTTTGCGTACACACTACCCTCCCCAGAGGGAGTCTGGGGAGGGAGCCGAGGGTCTATCGAAAACAGTCTCTCTACCCTAGGGTAGGGGTAAGGTTTGCGTACACACTACCCTCCCCAAACCCCACTAGTGGGATTATACTGGGTTGTTGTTGTTGTATATATTATATTTTAATACACACTGAGTCACGGGCATCAGCAGTTGAATCTCTCATTTTGTTGTTTGTCTAATAAAGCAAGGTGCAATTTGAAGTGCTGTACTGAATAAAAGATTGAAAGATTGCGGGTAAAAGACGCCGAACACCAAGTAGTTGATTGTCAAAATATTCAATTGGTCTTTTTCAGGAATCCAGATTAATTGGGCTTCAAACCGGCTACTAGACTCCGAGTGAAATGGGAAACCCAAAAAATGAAATTATTTTAAAAATGGACGGACATATGTCAATTTCTTTGAAATATTAAAAAAGAAAATATTGTTAAACAAATTTGCACACAGAGAGTAATAACTTTCCATGAAACTTGGACACAGTTCAGGCTATGCCTTTGGTAGTTGATGAAGACGTTGATTCTGAGATGCCTTTTTTGGAGGCAAATTATGCTTCTTCTTCTTCCTCCTCCCCATCTTCTACAACTGCCCTCAAAAGAACAGGTACTATGCTTACTTCTTCCAATCTTTTCTTCTTCAATTATTACATTATTGGTCTTTCTACCACAACAGCAAGGTCAACTTTTTAACAGCTACGTACTATCTTTTCTTGTCAAATACTTCATTTTTTTCTTTTGTTCTTCAACCCCATTTATCCCCAGTTTACCACTTAGGCTTCATTTTACAAAAAAGCTTGAGTCTTGATTATAACAACTTGGGTTCATAGTGAAACGTTGTCAAGAATCTTGCTTTAACTTGTCCTCTGTCTGATTGAAGGAGATTTTGTCTTAAAGGTATAGTCTTGATCTTTTTCTCAAAAGAAAAAATAAATGGGAAAATGATTTACTGTTGGAGCAAGAGTTGACCATTTGTGAAATAGATTCATTTCTAGTAATTTCTTGTGGAATAAACTGAAACATGTACAAGTAATTGATACTTAGAGAAACTAATGTGTGTGAGAATTCAGGAAATGAATGGACAGCTTTGGCACATATAGTAACAGCAGTAATTGGTTCTGGGGTTCTATCATTAGCATGGAGTATGGCACAACTAGGTTGGATTGCAGGTCCATTGGCCATGCTCTCTTTTGCATGTGTCACTCTTACTTCTGCTTTTCTTCTCTGCAACTGTTATCTATCTCCTCATCCAGATACTGGCCCTGATCATAGAAATGCCTCTTACCTTGATGCTGTTCTCAATATTTTAGGTGAGAAATTTCAAGTGCACCTTTTGAACTTGGCTTGCCAGCAATTCACTTCTTACCTTGCTGAACTCAAAAGGGTTGTAATGGACTTGGACTTACCCAACTAATTCTTTTCTTCTGGCGTCTCAGGAGAAAGAAATGCGTGGTTTTGTGGAATCATTGTTCGTATAAATTTCATCAAGGTTGCAATTGTTTATACAATTACGTCCACTATCAGCATTCGGTATGTCAGCAATCTTTTATCCACTGGTATTGTCAATGTCTCCTTTCAAAATTTCTGCACATACCTTTCCTTTATGAGCTTTGCTGCTTTTCATGCTCAACTTTTGTTTTGTTTGTCCATGACCTCAAGGTTGCAGTTCAATACTATAACACTTAATTTTTTGATGGTTGCTTTCTGAAATAGCTTGGAGTATTGCTGTTGAATAATCCTATCTATCAGCAGATGTATAATTACAAATGAACTCCTAGTCATCAATATATAATGAATTATGGACCCATAGCAACTGTAATGAGGTTTTCATTTCAAACTATCTTCTGAGATGCCCTTAAGCCTTAACAACTCTAAGATAAACTAGTTAGGGAATCTTATGGGTTCAAGAAATAGCAAATAATACAGTTTAAACCTTCGAAATTAGTTATAAGCAGAGATATGTAATCATATCATCATTTTAATCAGATAATTTGAGGGATAAGGAAGCCATATCTAATAATTAGTGAAATTAGGAATTATGTCCCGTTATCAAGGGATAGAAGTTCCATAACAAATGGGATCAGGAATCCCTGTATACATTACATAGTGTAAATATAAAAGAGTTGATGTTGCTATCATGTATTCTCAAACTTAAAATGGTTGGGAAGTCATAATATTTATTGGATTTAGGAAATGTATCCCTAAATGATATTAGCATAGATAAGGCTATGCTGCATAGTATAAATATACAAAGGCCGAGAGGTATTGCTCTCATGCATTCTGAAAACTCTCTCGCTTATTCTCAATGCTTTAACACCTATAGAAGTGCATTAGGAAGGATTTCTCTAATGGGTGAAATTGATAATGCGTCCTCTAAATGTCTGCAGAGCAATCCAGAAATCAAACTGCTATCATGATCAAGGGCATGAGGCTACCTGTCGATATGGAAGTACAAGATATATGGTTATATTTGGACTAATCCAAGTTATAGTGTCTCAAATTCCTGATTTTCAGAATATGAAGTGGCTCTCCATAGTTGCTGCAGTCATGTCATTCACATATTCAATTATCGGATCAGCACTTGGCTTAGCCAAAGTAATAGGTAGGTTACCTTTCACATATGTCATTTAATGCCACAAATTCTTCACATCAACAAGCATGGTTATGACTTGGATCTCAGGTAAGATGAGCCATTATATTAGATTTCCACTTGCCGAATCTTGATATGCAGAAAATGGAGAAATCAAAGGTAGCATTACAGGACTGACAAGTTCTACTGCTGCTGAAAAACTATGGTTGGTTGCTCAAGCACTTGGGGACATTGCCTTTGCCTTTCCATTCTCTCTTATATTTCTGGAGATACAGGTGCTGCAATTTGCTTTCTACACTTTGCTTTCTACATTAAGTAATAAAGTATGTTCTTAAACGGAATTAAGCAACACTGAAGCAATTAGTTATAACTTTTAAATATATGAAGGACACATTAAAGGCGCCTCCTCCAGAAAAGATCACTATGAAGAAGGTATCAATAATGGCAGTCTGTATTACGATGTTTTTCAACCTTTGCTGTGGGGGATTTGGTTATGCAGCTTTTGGTAATTCCACACCGGGAAACCTCTTGACAGGATTCGGTTTCTA